AAAAAGTTAATAAAATTGTTTTGAAAAAATAAAAAAAAAATCAAGTTCCGTTCCTATTTTTTAAAAAAACCGCCCTCCTGGACAATTCTGTTTGCCCCAGAGGGGGCCAAATGGCTCCCCCCAGCCCTGAGTGGTCTGAGGAGGAAAACCATCCCCCGGCCTCCTGAGTGGGCAATAGATTTCGAGCTGGTGCTTGACGTGTTGGGCGGGCAAAGGGAGCTGGGCCCCTTGGGAGTGGGGGAGAAGAGCCACGCCCCTGGGGCCCCTCCCCTGAGAGGGGGCGGCCGTTGCGCTTGCGCCTCCGCTCTGCGTTGGGGGTGGGCGGGCGCTGAACTCCTGCCCCGTTCCCTGGTCCCGAGGGGGCCCCCTCTTGGCTTCCACTATGGGGGGGGGGGGAGGAAGGAAGGTTCAGTCCAGGAGGCTGACAAAGAGAAGCGGTGTGCAAATTTATCCCTGTGGGTCACCTTCCTTATTCCCTGGGAGTCGCAGGCAGTTGAATTGGGTTTTGCAGTTGCAAAAAAGAGAGGAAACCCCAAAGAGCTGCACCAGCCGCCTTATGTCCTTCTCCAGGGTCCAGTGTTCCCTCTAAGCTAGGTTAGTGTGAGCTAGCACACAATTTTTTAGCCTCCGGCTCACACATTTTTTGCCTTAGCTCAGGAAGGAGGGCTCCAGAGCGAACTGATTTATGCAGGAGACAAATCGCTTGCTCAAAACTTTAATGTCGGCAGCCCAGAAAGTAGGATTTTTGCTCTTAAGACCAGTATTCCCTCTAAGTTGAGTTAGGGTGAGCTAGCTCACAGTTTTTTAGCCTCCGGCTCACACATTTTTTGCCTTAGCTCAGGAAGGAGGGCTCCAGAGCGAACTAATTTATGCAGGAGACAAATCGCTTGCTCAAAACTTTAATGTCGGCAGCCCAGAAAGTAGGATTTCTGCTCTTAAGACCAGTGTTCCCTCTAAGCTGAGTTAGGGTGAGCTAGCTCGCAGTTTTTTAGCCTCCGGCTCACACATTTTTTGCCTTAGCTCAGGAAGGAGGGCTCCAGAGCAAACTAATTGATGCAGCAGCCAAATTGCTGCCTTACAACCTCCCTCTAAGCTGGGGAGTCCTGTGAGCAAAAATCCTGCTTTGTGAGCTACTGGCATTAACGTTGTGAGCCAGCGATTTGGCTACTGCATAAGTTAGTTCGCTCTGGAGCCACATCCTTCCTGAGCGGAGCCAAAAACGTGTGAGCCGGCGGCTAAAAACCTGTGAGCTAACTCACACTAACTCAGCTTAGAGGGAACACTGCTCTCAACTTTAATGCCAGCAGCTCACAAAGTAGGATTTTTGCTCACAAGACTCCGCAGCACCTTCAAGACCATCAAAGATTTATTCTGGGTGTAAGTTTTTGTGTGCATGCACACTTCAGATACCTGCATATGAAAGCTTACACCTTGAATAAAGAGAAGATAGAAGAGATTGGGTTTATACCCCGCCCTTCATTTGGAATCTCAGAGTGGCCTACAATCTCCTTTCCCTTCCCCTCCCCACAACAGACACCCTGTGACTGTGAGGTAGGTATACGGTTGCCAGGTGTGGGTTGGAAAACACCTGGAGACTTTGGGGGTAGATCCAGGAGAGGGCGGGTTTGGGGGAGGGGAGGGGCCTCAGCATGGTCCAATGCTATGGAGCCCACCCTTCAAAACAGCCATTTTCTCCAGGGGAGCTGATCTCTGTCAGCTGGAGATCAGTTGTAAAAG